TGAGTCAGTGGTGTCCAGGATAACCTACTGTTTTGGTCGGTTAGTTCGCAAGTTGGTTGCAAATGCTGGGAACTTCTGGTTAATGTGTCCTAAAAAGGACGGAAACTAGGGACAGGACCTCCAGTGGAATTTTATGTTTGAAACATCTCCCGACAAATAATATCTACGATCTAGATGAAAATAACGTATGGATATTATCACTGCAATCCAGTAGATTCCGATTTTTCAGTCATAGATTTTATCTCACTCCATGCCGTTTGGGTATTGTATCTGTCGCTTACACTCTTCTTAATATTTCACTGATCCTCTTCTCAACTCAAAAGGCCTCGCAGACAATAAGATTGGCTGTACAAAATGAAAGATAATTCCGATTTGAAGAGAATGAACACTGTGATCAAATCAGGAGTACGGAGGTTAAATGTAACCTATATCCAAAAGTTCTTATCATGCAAGACCTCATCAAAGATGTGGAAGATATTTGAGGAAATCACCAGTGGTAAGAAAGTAAACAGTGGTTCTTCTTCAGGTGATGATGGTACGCGTAGTAAGTCGTTCGTATATCGTTTAGAAGATGTTATAATTTCCAGTGCCACATATGTAAAGAATGAAAGCTTTTCTGGTTTTAGTAAAAAAGACGTTCTCAAATGTCAAATTTTAGGATTAGACCTACTGGTGTTACTTCACTATTTTTAGAAAAAATGGAAAAACTGATCTTACTTAACCTTAGACCTTCACTGAAGGCTTTTAATGACTTTAAACAACATGCTTATAAGCATAGTATGTGTACTTTAGATGCCACTGTTGTCTTACGTTATAATACTGTCTCCAGTTTTAAAAGAGGTGCCTTCCTTGAGTATACATCTGCCTTCAACTCTGTACCTAAGCTTGTTTTGTTGAACACGTTTGCTGCAACACAAACAGAGCACTTGACTAATAAGTGGTTGCATTCCTGCTTTTATGATAAAAAGCAGTACACTGTTTACAATAGGAAGTCCTCCACTACTTCACTTACTCTAGCCGATGTTCCTCAAGGTGCTATTCTTTCTCACTTTCCTGTGTTTTCTTTCTTCTTACATGGCTTACTTGGGACATTTTGACTAAGCCAACTTTGTTAAGAATACCGATGATCTCATTGTTTCCATGCCTGTCACTTCTCAGTCAGACTATTCCAAAATGAATGACTTTTCATCAGAAATTAGTCAGTGGTCCCTTACAAACTGTCTTAGACTAAATCCTTCCAAATTTCAAGCACAAGCACGTCTTACATAAACTGAAGGTTTCCAGTGACTCTACTATGATAGAGGGAAAGGAATTCGAAACTAAGTTGAAACCGATGCCAGCTCATGATGAAATCCTGTAACTAATCAATCAAATCCCTACAAACTAATACTTGAATATCGGTGAAATGCTCACTAGCGACTGGCCCTATTCGAATAGGTAGTTACCCGGGTTCTATTTGGAATTCGTGATCATTAGGGTACAGCAGCTCTGACGTGAGGACAAATACTCGCCTAAGACATTGACTAGTGGTCACGCTATGGCATGAATTGGCAGAAGTTAGAATTCATGGGCTGGCGACTGGATCGTGTCCCAGTGCCTTAATGGTCTACCAGCTGGCCTGCCTTGCAACCAGAAGGTCCTGGGTTCGAGCCTTGTTGGTGGGTGCGTGCCAATGAAGAGTCCCAGGCCAGGACGAAACAGCTCTCCAGTACTCCTAGGTTTTCCAATGGTTCTCTAAGCAATGTCAGCTCATGATAAAGTCCTGTAAGTCGAACGTTAATAACTGTCATGGATTTAGAATTTCTTCTGAACTTTCTGGGTCTTCAGACATCATGCTTGTTTCTGGAAATATATTTTGTTCAGTGTTGTACGTAAGGAAGTTAAGACAATCTGGTTTCCCTCACTCAGTCTCTTCTTTTACAGTTTGTTAATTCTTGTATTCTGCTTATCCTTCTCTATTGTTCCCCACAACTTTACCTTTCCTGGGCTAATTAAGAAAGGCTACTTTGTTACACCTCCTAGAACCCTAACAGGTCCCAGTGAGACGATTGTAGAGTCAATAAACCAACTTGATAATGATGTTATAAGTAGATGTGTGGTTTCATGCAAGAAATTAGCAAATACTGTCTTGTTGAATCCTGAACGTTCTCTGTACACACAACTCTCTCCTCGTATCTCATCATGTAGGACTGGAAGCAACTATAGAAGACTCTATGTTCGGAGAACTAAGTATGAGAACTGTACAATACATTGTTCGGAGAATATTTTATATAATGAGAAAAGTGTGTCAAACATGACGCCATTTACTTACTGAGAAACATTAAGTCAACGACCCTTTTTATTCTTTCTTTCATTATCATATTGTTGTTAATATTTCCAGTTAAATTTTAATTTTACATTGACATTCTTACTGAACAATATTATCAATGTAAATTCCATGTTTAACTATCTCCACCTGTACTATGCAAGGAGGCAACTAGATGTAATATTGTACTATATGTTGAAAATTCCATAATTGTATCAAAAGTATTGTTTTGAATAAAGCCGTTATTATTATTACTACTGAATAGATGATAGTAGTAGCAAGAAGGATTGCGAAAATTGATTAGATTTCTGATTTAAAACTTCAAAACACTGGAGAATTCAACTTCTGGAGTTATCTACCGCTTCCTCCGTCACCTCTGAGAATACCAGGCACCATCACACAGTGTAGCGATTCTAAGAAATTTCAATGCAGGTTTAATTGTGTACACACAGCTTACAGCTTCTATTCTTTTGACACGAATTTACGAAATGATACTGATTCCTATTTCTCAAATGCAGAGAAACCAATGGAAGGGATGATTCTACAGAAGTGGTCTTTAGTAACTTGGGAATTTAGCTCATTGGGTAAAGTGAGCGTAGGCAGTGATAAATTTGCTTATTCAGGAAGTTTCCCCCTCAACCATATAAAATTTACTAATTTTCATCCGCCCAGCTAGCTGGATTCACAGAAGAACGGAAAGAAAGAAATGGCCACTGATGTCTTAAGGTAGAAATATTACAAATAACTAAGTATAAGTGCATATATAAATGCTTTAAATGTTCGGTGGAGAGACAGTACAGACGATGTGCCAATCAGTTATCGTTAGCTCAGTTGTCTGGAACGTGTATAAACCATGCAGACCTGATACCTTCTTCGACCCAATTCGCTAATCATTGTAGGATAATTTAAGAAAAGCGGTGGGCGTAGTTCAGTCAGAACAAGCTGTCATTCCAAGAGGTAATTGACCGTTGCTCTTGGTTGACTGCGTGATGAGTAAATTAGATTATCTGGCTTAATTCTTAGGAGACACAACAAGATAAACTGGTTTAATCATTCATTTGAACCGTGATCAAGATTCGACCATCATTTACATTTAGAGGGGTTCCTTATCGTCAGACAGAAGGCACTTCTCTGGGATCAACATTGTCTCCACCAATCTGTTTACGCACTCATTAGAAACAAATGAAATTATGAGATGCTGTAGTCCTCCAAAAATGTGGTGAAGAAATATGGACGATACCTTCGTCATCATCAAACGCTGTATGTCCAACAGACTTTTTCATTGAATAAACAGTATCAGAAACCATTAGTTTTTCCAGAGAGGTTGAATCAGACTCAGACCATGTGGCTTTCCTCGGGTGTTTAGTTAAAAGATAACCAGATGGTCAACTTGAAATGAACATCTTCAGGAAGCCAATGCATTCGGACGAATACCTAGACTACAATTCAGCACATCCCCTTACCACCAAAGTAACTGTGGCGGAAAATTTGATTAACAGAGCCAAACGTTTAATTACTGAGGCGGAGGATATCAAGAAGGGACTAAAATGCTTCAGTCTACTCTTGAATCAAATAATTACCTCCTAAGCCTTTATAAAAGGATATTTAAAAAGTTAAGATAAGGATGAATCGAAACTTGCTGTTAAAGTGAATCCTTAACAATCATGACAACATAAGTGTGTGTTCGTGCGCTGATCACTGGTGAAGTTTAAGGATAAAATAGAAGAAGATAAACAATAAAACTGTGTGTATTAGGTCAAATGTGGAAATTGTGACACTGTATATGTAGGAGAAACTTCCAGACAGGTGGATGTAATAGTGAAGGAATATAAACAATGTTTATGGGTGGTTCAAAAGACCTGGGCAGATTTGAAGAAGGCAGGAAACAGGTCGGCCATCGCACTGCATTTGATAGAAATGGGACACAAAATCGTTTTTAATAGGACTAAAGTTTTAAAGAAAGGTTTTGGTTCGTATAGAGAAAGATTCACTTCTGAAGCCCTGCATATATGGGTGGATTCCAACAGTTTGAACAGACGTAAAGGTGTGATGTTAGCTGATGCATGGCAAATCCCGATTAATACCCCACATACTTATAAACTTTTTTCATATTCAGTTATCTACGACCATGAACCTTAGTCGAACGCATTCACTGGAAATCTGATGTAAAATTGCACACTATTTACAATAGTTAACAAAAAGTAGACTAATAATTGTAAGTCTGTGGTAAAATTTTGATCGCGCTTCATGTTGTTTTGTTTGTTTATTATATTTTGATTCCTGTTTCATGACTCATTTGACTGGACAAAGTTTTTAAAGACAGGATGTGTCCTTTTTATACAACTACCTTTGTTATTCTAATTTTGATTAATTTCTCTGAATAAGTTCAGACCAATTTGCTGAACGCCGGAAACGTTGGAATTACTTATTTCAATTTCTCTGAGATTTTACAAATCTAATTTTTTTTACATGACTGATTTAACCATCTTGGTTAAATGCCTTGAAGCGACATACAGCAGTACAGGTGAGTTCATGTCCTTATTATCTGTGGACCTTCGAAGACATTCGTAAATTTCTAACGAATTATTATCTGTTCCACTACATTAGTTATTCTGTTTCTACTTCATACTTACAATCTTTTTACTAGTTTACGGTATCATTACTCAGATTATTGTGCTTCCTATGCAAACGTCTGTTAAGATACAAGGTAACATGCATTTCTACTTTCTTATAATAATTTCTACTCTTTATATAATACGCTACAAATTTAGTAAACCGACATTCTGTTTTACACTAAATTGTAGACTTTGCAGAAAATATATTGAAACTGTTAATTTCCTGAATCATGTTCTCGTAATCATCATCCAGTTTCTTCTGCATACTTTGAATTATGGTGGTTCTACTTGACGAATCTGTTTACGCAAATTACGTGAATGCTGCAACAATCTTACCGACTTCACGCTGAAGCATATCATGCAAATCTTTCAATGAGATTCGATCGCTTTCTTCCACAATTTCTTGTTTTGCGTTACTCACGAATGGAAAATCACACTAAAAGATATTCGTAGAAGTGAATTATAACAGTATTTTAATTCTCATAACTTACTATATTATAAAAATTTAAAAATTCATGAAGATCTTTGGGAAACCAGCCTTCCTTAGGTTGAATTTGCTTCAATGCAGTACTGATATCAATTCCAGTGTCCTCTGTATTTTCCAAACTTTCGTTTTCATCCACATTTATATCTTCCTCATGGTTGCTAGATGTTTGCTTATTGATTGAGAATTTCCTGGATTTCAATTTATAATCATACCTAAATTCATTAAAGAGATGAAAATGGTAACCGAACACTTATCTACTATTTTAAAAACAAAATAAATTTCCCGGCGAGGCACGTAGTTTCGGATCTTTATGGATAATTCGCAGAGCCTTTACTAGAATAACCAGAGATGGTAAGGTCAAGACTGGAAAACTGTATCCAGGTAGCCATTCCTTGTCTTAAAGGTGACTCACACATTCTAGAAAGGGTTCAAAGGAAGGCAACACGTATGGTTCACGGCATGACTTATTTATCATACGAAGAAAAACTAGTCTGTTTAAACCTCTTCTCCTTGTTATACTGTAGACAAAGAGGAGATTTAATCACAATGTTTAAAATATTGTAAATAATGACTACGGACCTGACCTATTCTCTCTTTTCCTTCCCACCGGGCCGGAACACCTTAGAGGACATAGCAGGAGAGTTCAAAAGCCAAGAAGAAATCATATTGCTAGTTCTCACACCGAGTCATGAACTCTTGGAACCGACTTACAGAAGAAGTGGTGTCTGCAACCTCAACTGATTCACTTAAAATATTTTGGACAAGGACAGAAATTTACTAGAAAAGGATTAACATAGGCTGCAAGCCTTCTATACTCAACCAACAAATCTAAATCTGAATATTTTCCCTCTTCTTATATGCCTAAGCAGAAAATTTTCGTGAATTAAAAGTCAGAAAAGGCAGGTTCTACAATAAAGACACCTTAGAGGTTCATCCGTTATTCTCTCTAATATTAGATAACTCTGAAGACATAAGGAAATTTGAAGGATTTTGATAAATCAGATTATTCAAGTTATTATCTTGAAATTATCACTTGGAAGTAAACTTAAGCAGACGAAATCAGCTGCATAGATAATAATGGCTATAAAGAAGAATATAAGGTAAACTTCTTCGATTTCATTTTCCGTGTGTGTTATATTGCCTAAATTGTTTCAATCTCTAGCTGGTCAATAGTTACGGTATGGGTCTTTTAAAGTTCTAATGTCATGGTGAAGCAGATGATCATCAGTGAAATTGGCTGGTGGTAGCGCTATATCGCAAAGTAACTTAAGTTGTAATTCGCTAGTTGCTGGGTTCCAATCCATTGGCAGAATTGGCAGATTTCTCTCCTTGTAAGCTGAAGGTCCCAGAATCGATCCCTGTTAGAGTGATGTGTATGCCTTTGGAAAGTTTTGCAACCTAGGACACTGCTCTGATTCTCTGACTATTGTAGGTTTGGGACGAAATCCACACTGAGATATAACTAACCATATGATTTAATTTACTTTCAGGTATCACCATCAAATGAAGTGCCATCAGAACTTCACTATGTACTCAAAACTGTTGAACTCTGATGGTTGCAGCCATTTTTTATACTTTTTAGTGCCAATACTTAGTTTTTAAAGACAATTTCGTTTCAGGGTCGTTTCCAGTCAGTATTACAATAGCTTGTAAAGTATTCGTAAAAGCATGTCTGTTTATCTGAACTAACTGTCAAATTCATCATAAATTGATGGTACATCTCTTTTTGGCCACCTCTAACTTGTTTACAGCCTAATCTTAGAGAAGTTAATATCTATGGACAAAGAAATCGCAGCATAGAATGCATAAAATCAAAGGTATTGATTTACATGCCCAAAAAATCTGTCTTATTTAAAATGACTATAACTAGGAGACATTCACTTCAAATTCCGTCTTCAAAAGCTGCAGTTTATCCGTCTACTAATCCGCTCAAAATTAATTAGTTATTTTATAGAGTCGTAAGTGAACTACTATTCATCTCGCCAAATTACAGTGGTCAACATAGAACTCACTGAAAAATAAGTGGATGATTTATCGATGATTTTCGAATACAAATAAGGATCTCTCAGCATGCAGTAAAAATCAACCACAGTTTACTGGTATGCATTTAGTCATAGTGCATAGTTTCCTAATATACCGCATCATGTGATCGAAATCTAACACATAAAAAGAGGAACTTTCAGCAACAAATAACGCTTATTAAGCATAAATGGTTTAGTAGATATTCACGGATATGAGGGATTGTGAAACATTAACGCATTAATTAGAAAATTGGAAGCACTTGTAATAACGACGAATTTTAAATTTCTTTACATTATTTGCTGGCATTGTATCTGCTTGAGGATGTGAAGTCACATCAATTTACTGTGATTAGCGACGTAACATAATCTTTAGTGCTTACTATTATTCAGTTACTTTGTTGTCAGGAAAAGATTCATGTGCTCCGGGATATGTTGGACAAAGTGTGGATGTTATCTGAACATTATGTATACGTTAAACTTAGTTATTTGCTTCCATTTACTGAAAGAGGTACAAGATATGATAACCATTTTATTTGTCTTTAAAGCTACGTCAGTCAAAATTAATAAGGTGGTCCGAAAGGTATACGAGAAACAACACTTTTTTTTTCTTAAAATGGTAATCTGCTGTCTTTATAATGTTTAAAAGATGCCTTTTCTGCGGCAGCTAAAATTATAAGATACCATGTAGTGTCAGACTAGCTTTTTTATAACATTGCGCTACCCAGCTAGCAATGACTTTAGGCACAATGCAGAATGATAGGGGCAGGCTTAGGGGCCTTTTCCCACGTTCTTCTGTGCACCCGAAGTCTTTTGCCGGACGATTCTGCAGTGCGCCCGAATAAAACGATAACTAGGGCGTTATATATATATATACATATATATAGGTAGTCATTAATGGCACCTGTTAAAAAATCTGAAGGAAAATCTCTGATATTTATGAGTGCTTATGAAGTTTAAATACACTTTCCCTGGATTTTCTCTCTTGAAAGGTCCAGAGGTTTTTACTTTAAACTGCTGGGTAGAATGTATGCATGAATTTGAGCTTATTAGACACGAAACCAAACAATCCATTTAGTCATCAGTTGTAAGATTTAGCTATATGAAAGCGTCTGAGTACATATTATGAAGTAATGACTAGTTCATAAATTGATTACATAAGTTGCGATTTGTTTTACTGCCGTTTGGCTGCCATGACTGCCTCCATCGTTGGACTATTTAAACAACTGTACAGCTGAATGGATAAGTAGATAATTTTCAACTCCTGGGGTTGATATTTTTCCAGGAACTCCAAAGAAGTTTAACTTTGAAATTCCATTAATTTTTGCACAACCGTTTTATTTCTTTTAGATGTTTATCACCTTTCAGTACTCAGTGTACATTTTCCAATATCCAGTATTGTTGTTACGACCTAGCGTAAACCAATTTGATTTCTTTGTACTCGCTTCTTGATTGTGAGGTTAAAGTTCCTGGTCTTCGGTAAACTTCTGCGTAGTTCCTCCCCCCACTCGACTGTCGTAGCTTTGGTTGACTCTAAAAGGAGTGCTGCTGGGATTAATTATATGTTGTTTAAAGTGTGTGGTGTGTTAAGGCTTTGTTGCTACTATGAATGGAGTTGATCCTTTCACCAGTTAGCGTCAAAAGAAAAGAGATAATAATAATAACATATAATTAGTGCAGGTTATTCAGACGAAATAGAGAAAACGTAAAAGCAGACAGATACTGAAATTTAAAGTTGATATATATATATATATATGAGTGTGCATATAATATCAATAATAATAAGTGTGAGTGTAGTAGTTGGAGTAGTCAGGAGAGTAGAACTGGAGAAAATGTAAAGAAGTAAAACGATGAATTTAGATGTCTACTCATTAGTGGTTTAGATGTTGACGGTATCGACTTTCGTCGGGCTCACCAGTTTAGAGACTACGGTTATCGACGTTCGCGAGTTGTACGGATTATACTAACGCAAGATCTTATACCAACAACTTCTATAGTGTTCGTTCTTCGAGTACCAAATGGTAAAGCAAAAGACCAGATTTTGTCGTCCAAAGTACGTATTATATTTCGGGACAAAATCGCGGGTAGAGGTGAATGCTTAGCTAGCTAGTAATCGTGCACGCACGTGACACGACGAAGAGCACCAAATGGCGGGGATGCTTGACCGTAAGCCTTCAGCTAAACAAGTCGACTTAAACAGTGATGGTCAGCATCCAATGTTGAGTGATGATTGCTGTGGTTAATAATTTTGGGGAATTATTTACCGCTACAGCTCACTCCCCCCCTAGTGGGTTTGTGAGGACCCTAAGACATGACCAGCCGGAAGTAAAAAAATCTCGATGGTTCCCTGACGGGTGAAAAAAATCTTCCGAGCGGCTTGATGGAGTGCCTGCTGGTCTGTCTTCCTATGCTAATAGGGTGTCTGTACATAGCTTCCTGGATGTCGTTCGTTGGATCCCGTGCTTCGTTTGTTTCCTGTCCAGTGCCCGTTGCACCTGGAAAAGAAAACAAGAATGCTGAGAACCTTGTCAAGAAAAATGTACCAAATAAGCGTTTTTTTACCAAAAAAATATGACATGCATCTACTATACAGTAAAATAATGTAAAGTTCAAAATATCGGGAAAAAATATATACATCTAATTTAATTTTATGTACGGTTATAGGAAAAATATCATTTACTTGTGTTGAATGACGCAACATAAAAAAAAATTGATGTGTCACTCAGTTATGTGAAATAGGTGTGAAGGTATTCTGGGAATCTAACGTGACGTCCAGAACGCGTTTTTTTAGAGTGATCGACCGAAGTAGCCAGTGGGCGAATGCCCTGACAGTCAATAGTGTGACCCCAAAAATCGAGTGAGTCAACGCCTATTTGACACTTCTGTATATTGATGGTAACACCATGTTGGCGTAACCTTTCAAATGCCAAGTCCAAGTGTCTAAGGTGAGTTTCCTTATCTGGACTGGCAATGAGGCAGTCGTCTAAGTATGCGTATACAAAGTCGAGACCGCAAAATACTTCATCGATGAAGCGTTGGAATGTTTGGGCCGCATTCCGGAGGCCAAATGGCATACGTAGGAATTCGAAAAGTCCGAAAGGCGTGGTGATAGCCGTTTTCGGAATACCTTCCGTTGCCATCGGGATTTGGTTATATGCTTTAACCAAGTCGATTTTGGAGAATATAGATGCTCCAGATAACGTTGCCGTCAAGTCGTGTATGTGAGGCAAAGGGTAGCAATCAGGAGTTGTTTTGGCGTTCACTCGCCGGTAATCACCAGTGGGTCGCCAATCGTTACTATCCTTTTTCGGTACCATATGCAACGGGGATGCCCATGGACTATTCGATGGCCGAATGATGCCAAGGGTGAGCATATGATCGAATTCGTTTCTGGCAATTCTCTGTTTACCAGGTGCAAGTCGTCGTGCTTTAGATGTCACGGGCTGTCCTGAGGTTATGATGTGGTGCATAACATTGCTGGTTATACACGGGAGGTCGTTAGATGGGCAATTCAGTTCCGGATATTTGTCAACAATCGGTTGAAAAGTTGGATCGAGGATTGCTTTCATCTTAACGATTGACAAGCTGGGGCCTACGTAAGTTATGCCTTTGATAGACAAACTAGTAGTGTTGTCAATTAATCGTTTACGGCGGACGTCTACGAGCAAATCATGATGATTAAGTAGGTCCGTGCCAGTGATGGGCATTGTGACGTCAGCGATTAGGAAAATCCACCGAATAGGTTTGCGTAAACCTACGTTCAGATAGACGTATTTCCGACCATAGGTTGCAATTGGTTTTCCATTTGCAGCCTGTAGGTTGAAGTTAGGATCCTTCTGTCGATCTGCTGCTGTAGCAGGAAGGACGCTGACTTCGGCGCCTGTGTCGACTAGATATCTAGTCTGGCTAATTACATCACGGATGTAAAGTAAGCGGCTAGTGCCACCGGCGACGGTTGCCGCTAACGCGTGCCGGCGGGATAGTTTCCCACAGACTTGGAGGCTTTGCCGAAATCACAAGGTTTTCGACAACACTTCGCTTCCTTGCCATAGGTGTTGTGATACCAACACCAGTCAGGATTTTTGAGAGAACGTGTTTTGGACTTAGATCGTCCACGTGCGTTTTGCCGTTGAGGGGATTTAGAACGACGGTAGGAGGAATTGCTAGGCTTGTTTGACCTAAGCATCTGCTGGACGGAGTTGCATAACTCTATCATTGCAGAATCCTTTCTCGAAGTCTGTTCGGTAACTGAGTATACTTCGGTAACTGGCCGTTTCGTTATCTCTAGAATTCTATCTGCAGAGACAGCTAAATCATCTATGAGAACACCCTGAAGTGTCACAAGTACAGTCTGAACTGACTGTGGCAGTTTGGATAAAAATAGTTCTCTAAACAGTCCTTCATCGAACTGACTTTGGCCAATGATCTCTTTCATTCTTGCCAGCATGCTCACGGCTGACTGATCTCCTAACTCGATGTTACGAAATAACTCATCCAGACGTTGTCGATCTGTGAGAACGTTTCTCTTGAGGATGGATGCTTTTAGCAACTCGTACGAGTTACTTACCGACATCTGCAGAGTTACGCACCTGCTGAATTCCCGCGGTAGGGCGTGAATAACTGCAAGGAACTGTGAACGTTGATCAGTTATGCCATGTTCACAAAAATCGGACTCAGCAATCTGAAACCACGTTTCAGCATTATCTGGCCAATATGGTACTAGCTGAATTGTTTTGGCGGTTGATCGTATGCGAATAACCTTGGGGCTAAGGTCAGTCATGACGAAAAGTATGCCGATAAAAATATAGTACAAGAAAAAACACAAAAAGGAACGAACTCACCGGGTTTATCTGCGTGTGAATTGAAGATGTAGTTCGTGGTTGGGCTCACCAGTTTAGATGTTGACGGTATCGACTTTCGTCGGGCTCACCAGTTTAGAGACTACGGTTATCGACGTTCGCGAGTTGTACGGATTATACTAACGCAAGATCTTATACCAACAACTTCTATAGTGTTCGTTCTTCGAGTACCAAATGGTAAAGCAAAAGACCAGATTTTGTCGTCCAAAGTACGTATTATATTTCGGGACAAAATCGCGGGTAGAGGTGAATGCTTAGCTAGCTAGTAATCGTGCACGCACGTGACACGACGAAGAGCACCAAATGGCGGGGATGCTTGACCGTAAGCCTTCAGCTAAACAAGTCGACTTAAACAGTGATGGTCAGCATCCAATGTTGAGTGATGATTGCTGTGGTTAATAATTTTGGGGAATTATTTACCGCTACAGTGGTTTTTGGAATTTTAAGGGGACAGGCCATTAGAACTCAGTCCTTGTGTGGCTGCCTTCGTTTAAAGCTGTTCACAGACGGAGAAAGGAGTTCCAGGGACAGTAAACCCTCAGTGAAAAAAGTGGGAGAGCACTCGAGTCTTTTCCCTCAGGCGATGCATCCTTCTGGGACTTCCACCAGGAAGCCCAAAACCACTTATTGGCAGAGTACCTTTGTTTGGATGATGCTGGTCATTTGTTATCTTACAGGCAGTAATCAAATCCCCCCATAAGCCGACGGGGATTTCTTTAGCCGTTCATAGTACGGTTTGTTTTGGAGATCCATCGCTCCTTTCAACGCCGTCTTTGAACTCTTTCCAAAAGGTTTGCGTCCTTTCTAAGCAGAGGGGTTGCAGTGGTGTTGTGCACTCCTAGGTGTGGTCTGACGTATTTTTTGTACAGCTTTAGAAAGAGCTCAGAGTTGAGTGCACTCTACTGTCTATGAGTGGACTGTATGACCACATACGCCATTGCTACGTCCCCCGTATAATTTACGGTTGTGTCCATTTTTCCGTTAGAACTAGACCTAAGCTCCGACGTTGTGCAGGACAAGCCTTTTTGCACAGGGTGTAACTTGCATTCTGCAGCCTACTTGTGCGTAGTTGCAGTACACTGCATTTTTTCGGGCTGAAAGTCACACCCTTAACCACCTCCCAGTCTTCCAGAAGTTTTTGGTCTGCCTGCACCTTGTCTGAGTCTCTCAAACACATCTTTACGTCGTCAGCGTAAAGAAGAGTCGGTCAGCTAAGACGGCATGGTAGGTCATTGATAAAAATCGAAAACATCAGTGGTCTTGGGATAATCCCTGTGACCCTCCTGGTGACGGGTTGTGCCATGACGATTGGATTCGGTTGACCTTAGTCCAAAATCTCCTTTCAA